GGAAAAAATTAAAAAATAAAAGTTATTCATTTGAGAGAGAGAGAGAGCAAGAGGTGGGAGGGTCAGAGGGAGAGGGAGAAGCAGACTTCCTGCCGAGCAGGGAGCCTGCTGTGGGGCTTGATCCCAGGACCCTGAGATCATGACCTGAGCTGAAACCAAGAATCAGACGCTTAACTGACTGAGCCACCCAGGCGCCCCTGTTCTAAACATTTTTGTTTTCATTCTGCTCCTTTTTGTTTCTCCCCCACCCTCACCTGTGTGTGTGTGTGTGTCAATCATACAAACTATGAACCTCTGCTTCACACTTCTAGCATCTCTCTCCCTTTCACCAACCACATCCCATCAGCCCTCCCCCTTTATCACCAGTGCAGTTCCTTAATAAAGACCCTTATCATCTGGACCTTAGCAGCAGCCTCTAAATTGTATCTCTGCCCCCTGGTTTTTCTCTCCCCAGCATGTGTTTCCTCAGTGCTTTCAGAGTAGACTAGTCATTGTCTATAGGATAAAGGTACCTATCCCTATCTATCTATCTATCTATCTATCTATCTATCTATCTATCTATCTCTATTAGGCTCCACACCCAACATGGGGCTTGAACTCGTGACCCTGAGATCAAGAGTTGCATGTTCTATTGACTAAGGCACCCAGGTGTCCCAGGATAAAGGAATCTTAAAATGCTCACCAATAACTGGTAGGTGGCTCTGCAGGTCCTGGATTTCCTTTTCTTCAAGTCTGAACCCAGTATTCCGTAGAACATTTTTTAGGTCCCTGACACTAACCCTTCCTCCTTAATAAAAACAAGAAAAAGTAAATAAGGATGTCACAGATGAAAAATGCAGGCCATCAACCCTACCTAGAAATTAAAGTACAAAGAAGTTCTTTACAGCAAGTTGTATGGGAATGGGGAGTGATGGCTAATGGGTACAGTATCTTTTTGGGGTGATGAAAATGTTCTAAATTGATTGTGATGATGGTTATGCAACTCTGTTAATATACTAAAACCAGTACACTTTAAATGGGTGAATTGCATGGTATGTAAATTACATTTCAATAAACTGTTGTAAAAAATACAACATAATAAAGTAAAAATGCAAATAACCAACTGGGAAAATATTTTCTGTAGCTATGACAATTGTGTTAATATCTTTAATTTATAAAGAGGTCATTCAGATTAATAGGAAAAAGCTTGGATTCCGATAGGATAATAGGCAAAAGGCAGGAACAAATAATTAAAAGACTGAAAGACAATGATATAAAAATAGTTTTAACTTCATTGATAACAAAAAATTCAACATTAATTAGATTCCATTTTTCATTTATCAAATTGGCAAGGATCAAAAAATGTGAAAATAATTTATTGTGGCCAGGGCATAATGGGAACCAGTACTTTTATCCACTTATATATATATATCACAGCCTTAAACATGTTAAGATTTACTGGATTTACCAGAAGAATCTATCCAAAGAAAATGGCTTAAAGTCGGACAAAGATCACAGATACACAAGAGCAAAACATTGGAGACTAGCTAAGTGTTCAATAAGAAAGGAATGACTAAATAAACTATAAATACAACCTGATAAGTCATTAAAAATGGTGTTTACAAAGAATGACATGGTGGAATTCTTACACTAAAATTTTAGGATTAAGTATAGGATACATAAAATATACAGTAAGAGTTTAATTATCTATATACACATATACACAGAAAAAAAGAACACAGAGAACTGTAATAAAAAAAGGTAATATTACTGGGATTATGGGTAATTGCATTTTTTTTCTGTATGCTACTTTATATATTCCAGATTTTTCTCAAATACCCGACACACAGTAGAGACTTGGATATTTGTTGAATAAATGCATACGTAATTTCCTGATTATATAATCAGAAAAAACAGTTACAGCAATCTCAGATTTTATTGTCCTTATTCTTTTTCTCACTCACCTTTGAAAGATTTCACACCCTCCAGTAATGCTTTCTCAAACACCTTTTTATCAGCTGTAAGATAAAACATTATTGAGTTTTTGACAATTCATAGAAATTAAAGTGTTTACTTTCAGAAAGGGGAAATTTAGAAATTTATCACAATTCATTCTCAATGAAATGCGAAGTATTTAGAAAACTCAGTGTAGTGACTATCCCTGGACAGAATAAAAGGCTATTGTTAGTGGCTGGTTTGCTGAAATACACACAGCTTTTTCTTTTTCTTTTTTTTTATTATTATGTTATGTTAATCACCATACATCACATCATTAGTTTTTGATGCAGTGTTCCATGATTCATTGTTTGCATATAACACCCAGTGCTCCATGCAGAA